TTATGACACTTTAGTATAAAAGTAAACTCCATACTATTGTGTGTGCGCTTATTCATCATCGACATTTTTCCGCGCAACTTTTCTGTATTACATTTTCGCTCCAAACTACTCATATAAAACACTATGTGATGTACGAAAGCACTTCCATTTAATCTAGCAAGGAACAATCTGACAGCAACGGGAATCTCCATTAAAAAAACACGTAGAAACTAACGCCTTTACAGGCGATCGTTTCAATTCACAATTCTTCTACATTCGAACGAATTGAGAAAAAATCGAGAATAAAATTGAACGCGTGCATTCAAAAAATATGGAGATCAACTCAAAGCAAAGATGAACGCGTTAAGGCTTCCATGAAAGTCTAAAGAGTTCACTCCGTTGATGCACCTGTTCTAATCGTCATTGTGATATTCATATTCCCTAACTGAAATAAGCATTTATCTCTGACGTTATAGTTGTTGTTTTTTTAAACACATCACTTTGAAGTTTACCGCTGAGTGATTCGCGTCAATAAAACTGAAACATAATTTCACGATGCACATCAAAGCTATCTGATGGCATGTCTTACCTTACCTCTGGTATTTATATTTTCAAAAAAAAAACTGCTCAATATTATATGGGTTTCCGAAATGACGTATCCCACTTTTTCTATGGAATTGAAGAGTTCCTCCAATTAACGGAACACTCATTTTGACAAGAAAGTGTGACAAAGTTCATCTCACGAATGTAAAACATTTTCTATCGATTCACTTTACTGATCTATTTTTCTTTCAATTTTTAGTAAACCAAAAAGACAAAAGAGGCCGAACAGCTCTTCATAATGCTACTGAGAATGGTAATTTTGGATATTTATGCTAACTTAATCAGAAATGGATTGAATATATTTGAATGATATGTTTCAGGTAATTTGGGCGAAGTTAAAAAGCTAATTGCGAGTGGATTTTAAGTTGATTCGACAGACGAAGAACAGCGCAAACCTCTTCATTTGGCTGCTATGACTGGTAATGTTGTCTATTTATTTTTACTCAGGAAATTTGTTCGATTTTTTTCATTGGACGGTGCTATTTTTCAGGTCATACGGACATTGTTGAAAAGCTAATCGAAGGAGCACCCAATGTTGATTTCAAAGATAAAAATGATAGGACACCTCTCCATTATGCTGCTATGAAGGGTAATGTTGTCTATTTATTTTCGCTTAGGAAATTTGTTTGATTTTTTTCATTGGTCGGTGCTATTTTTTAGGTCACAAGAATGTCGTTAAAAAGCTCATCAACATTGGAGCTAAAGTTGATCCCAGAGACAGCCTTATGCGGACACCTCTTCATTTAGCTGCTAAGAATGGTAATTTGGAATATTCATGCCTTCAATTCATTAGCTGTTATGAAGGCTGAAGTTGCATATACAGTCATGGACTAAATTGAGCGTACGACTGCCAGAAAAATGTATC